CCTCCTTCCTCGACCCCCCCCCCCACACCCACACCCACCCCCCACACCCACACCCCACACCCACACCCCACACCAACACCCACACCCACACCCATTGTGATACATATAAGTTGACTCAGCTTCGAATGCTGAAGCCAGAAATATGATTTATTTTGAAATTAAGCCTGATTATTTTTACTAAAGAAATATTACTCAAAAAGCGTAACATTTTGATTCTAAGCATTTTTCATTTGGCTATTATGTCTTGTTTATCAATTAAGCTGAAAAAAATTTTATCATTTTATAAATCTTTTAGAAAAATTCTATCGGATGATATACAGTGCGAACTAATTGAATTTTTCCTTTTTGCTCTCTTTTTTTTTTGTTGCTTTATTCCCATTATTCTTAAACATACTATATATAGGGAGAACGTGCGGAACGAGCTACACCAAATAGTATATTCACCTTGAACAACAAATATAGTTTAAAAGACAAAAAATTAATTAGAAATAAAAATACTGTTTTTTTTTCCAAATATACATCATGATCTAGATTGATCTCCAACTGGCCAACTTCAAATATTTCATCAGCAAAAGATTCTTGTCCTTTGCTAATTAATTCGAATTTATTTATGAGTAGGGTGCTATATAACCGTAAGCTGAGGACTATCCGAACTCATCGAATCTATGTATGTTGACATAAAAGCAACGGGCCAATAAAATTCACTTAACTCACGCCATACATTGTAGAAAACAACGATTTTTTAAAATTAATCCTATCTTTTCACTTTTTTGTTGGTCAAAGTGAATATACCGTAAGATGCAGCTTGATTTGTAAGTACTTTCTCCCTATGTATTATAGTATGCTTAAGAATAAAGTGAATAAAGCAACAAAAATTTTAAAAAAAAGCAAAAGGAGAAAATTCAGTTGGTTCATACTGTATAATTCAAAGTGGATCACTACTTTCTACAGCTCCATAGTGATAAATAGTTTTTCATGGGATGTTCTAATATAATACGTGACAATGAACAGTGTTATCTCAGAGAAAAAAAACACAACCCAACATTTTGTGATAATCCTATATGCCATTCAATAGAGGAAAAAGATGTTCTATATTGTATGATAGTCAAACTCAATGAACTGAATAAGAGAAAGAAGTTTATCATACAAACGCACCCTTGCATGACGCTGAAGCAGATTGATAATGACGAGTTTTGAGTCAATCACGTGCAGTCGAAGTGACGTGTTACAGTCTAATTTAACAGGCAATTATTTTCTCAGACTCAATTTGACTATTCAGAAAAGAATCAACTAAACTTCGTGAGACGAAGTCGATTTTATCACTTAACGACTCCTTTTCTGTACGCCTTAGGTAGAGATGTTCTACATTTTTTTAATATTGTATATCATGAAACTACACGATTGAAGGCATAGCAATTGTGAATTAAATGTTTACAGATATCGCAACAGTCTTGCAAGTTCAATACGAAGAATGTTGTTGTACACTATTAATGAGTTAGATAAATCATTTTTTTTTCGACGACTATATTCTTTGAATTTTGCTCTCTTAAACAAAAGAGAGTCGCAATCGATCTAACATTATATTATTGAGGCATATATTTCGACATTCTTCCGAAGACTTTTGCATCACTTATTAATTAACCATTACAACACAGACAAAGTTATTCATTATTGATCAAATTTTTATTTATTTATCAAAAAAATTATCTTTACCATTATCAGTTTCGAAAAGGATCATTATTGAGATTATCTGACAGTATAGCATTATAATTATCTTCTCTTCTTGAATATTTTCGTTTTTCATCAGTGTTGTTTATGCGCTAATATTTTTCTTCCTTGAATCGTTTAATTGATGAAAGAAATAGTTCTTTCAACTTAACGTTCATCGATATCGACGTGTGAATAGTATTTCATTTATGTCACTAAAACGTAGGTTTCCAAAATCTAAAAAGTTTTAGTAAGATTTTTTTGTTTCTCGTTACGTGCGACAAGAGAGAGTATATGTAAAATATTCCAAAAACTTAAATTTCAGTTTTCTTTAAATAGTTCTGGCGGAAAAGCATTTGGAATAATAGCATACCTTATCTCTCAGTAAAATTGGTGTATGTTTTTTTCGCTATTATTTTTAGTTCTTCAAATTGATTTATTTTTCTCATTGATCGTATGGAATTGGTTGTAGAACACTGTATTTGTCATTGTTCAAATAAAATGCGACCAAAGCCATTTAATCTAAAGCGAAATATTAAAAACAGCTACTATACTATGTTACAAATATATATGGGTTATTTGCTTGAGTAGCTGCCTAATTCAAGTTCGAATATAAATGAAGATTTAAAAAACAGCTGCACACAATTATTCGTAGATGAAGATTTAGTTTCAGTTACTCATAGTGATAATTCATATATATATATATACATATGTATGAATTATAATTAAGGGTAACCAAAAAAATCCATTACTATTCTTACAGGAGGATACTATATATACATTATAATCACATATAACTAAAATGAAATCTATTGCAATTGTACAGGAAAGCTCTGCAATTCAAACTTTATCATTTATTTTCGAAGTAATGCTACGCAGCTGAATATTGATTTATATCCAAACTCGAATTAGACAACTCATGAGAATCAACACATTTTAACCAAAAACAAGGTATACCTTTATTCCTAAAGCTTCTCCATTATGAGAGTATCTATAGAAAACTGAGAAATTAACTGTTTTAGAGTATTTGGTTATCTTTTATCCAGCCATACAGAAAAAAAAACAATGAAATCTCACTATGATTTTGAATTTTCGACGTATTACATAAAATAAAGCTAAACAAAACAACATGTAAAAATGTCTATTTCGAACTATAACTACTGTTCTCATGTTTCATCTACACAAGCCTTCAAATAATTTCTCATTCTTCAAGCACGAAGGAAACAATACGAGAAAAAGCGTTTCCAAGGAGACGACAGGTGATGAAGAAAATTGCCGCAGGTTAGTAATTTTTATTCCATAGGAATGATGATAAACGTTGTCGGCGAATAGAATCTTTTTTTTTAATTCACCACTTTATTGAAATAGTCTAGGAAACTTTTGTTTAAAAAATATTTCTATATCACAATTCTTATTTGTTGTTCGTGGAATAAATTAACAACGTCCGAGTATTTTAAACTAATTATAGTGATTTTTCAGAAATTTTTGATGGTAACGCGTAAAACCCAATCATCATGGGAGGATCTTATTATAAAGTACAAGCAAGATAACAAATTATATTCACGCAGTTGTAAACTTCATAATCGTTGTACACAGATCTCACTGAATGATTCAGATAGATTATGTCCTTGCGGCAGTCTAGTTCGTTGTCATAGTTTTTGGGATCCGAATCTACAAAACAGAGAAAAAAACTTTAATTTTCCTGACAATTCTCTGGCAGGATTTAAATTTAATGATTCTACTACAACTCCTGTCACAATATTTGGAAGATTAAAACCTAATGATTGCAAATTTATTCGACTGGACGTTCAATCAGATATGAACAACATCTATCAATTACTTGTTGATGATAGTGGAGGTCAAAATCCTAAACCAGATTTAATATTAAGTATATATGGTGGTACAAACTATTTTAATATGGTAAAACAACTTGAGAAACGAATCATATGTGATCTTATTGATGCTGTTATAACAACTAGTAAATTAAAAAATGAAGCGATCTTTTTATCTGCCTAGATTACTTTTAGATGCTTGGATTTTGACTAATGGCGTCGATAATGGTGTAGCAAAATTAGTTGGAGAATGTATATCTTATCATTGCTTATTGACAGAGATTTCAAAGAAAATCAAATGTATTGGATTAACAATGTGGGGAACAGTCACTGAAGATATGCGCTGCCGATTAAAATATGAGAGTCATGTAGATGAATTGACAATTGTGAAAAAATGATTATATCATTTTATTTGATAGGACTATCCGAAAAACGAAATTTATCGACAAACTCCTGATAATGTTCAGGAACATTACGAAACAATTCAAAAAAATCATACGCATTGTATTTTATTCGATGATGAAAAATTTAATACACATAATGGCGACTCACATCGACACAATTTAGTTCTAACAGCATGTAAAGATAAAGACCATACATGTATGTAGTTTTTAAGCATTGAGATTCTTTACTACTAGTTATATTTATAGGTAATGCTGTAACAATCATCATCGGAGGAAGTAAAGCCACCGACACATTATAAGACCCCCCTATATTAGAAGACCCCCCATAATAGAAGACCCCCTTGGATAAATGAAGCAAAAGACATATTAGAAGACCCCCCTGATAAAATCGATTTTTTTACGAATAATTTCTGAAGTTTATTAACTTTTTTAGTATATAAGTCCATAATTGTATCGTAGGTCAGTATGAACAATATTTTGCTTCCTTTATGAAAATGATGCGCCAGGTCGAAGTGAAAAAAGTCTTGCGGAACAATGAATCGGAAACAACTATTTAGTAAAGAATGCATTTCTGTATAGAACTCATATCACGGAATCTTTTTAGTGCTCTTTTGCAGCATATTCTGAAAGAATTCTTATGGTTC